ATATATGTGGGCGCATTTAAATGATATATCAAAAAAAAAAAAATCCAATAAATAAAGAATAAAAACTAAACGTACTCATGTCATCTTAAATATAATTGTTAGGCGAAACCATTTTACGCAAATGGAAAGAAATCAGATGTGTATAGCTTAGCATTGGTGGATTTTAGTAATAAACCGGATCCGAATCGAATATTATCTGATCGAATCCATATTTGGATTCGAATTCGGATTCGCAGGATTCGTAAATTTTGGATCTCGAATGCATTTTGCGGAACACTACCCCCAACCCTACTGGACACTCTACTCTATGATCAAAACAATTCAGTGTTGTAAAAAAATATGATTGGACTATGTCCAAATCTGCACAAAAATATGGATACAGTCCAAATAATAATCCTGAAACAATTTAATATGGATAGATTACAAGTATTTCAATGAGTTATCGTTATCGACGGTTTTTTTTTTTAACAAAATGTGATTTCGATCATTTGAAGAAGTCTGATTGGTGTACCTGCCATTCTGGTTAGGTGCTCGTAAAACTTCTGGTATCGATCTCTTCTTAATTGATGCATTTCTTAGAGACACATTTGATCAATAACAAATTTTGATTTTTTTTTTTTTTTAGATGATTTATTTTTCTATCAATAACTTCTTAACAAATAACATTTAATTCATAAGAGAATACAAGTATTTATAGCTGATTCTAGTAAAGAACGTTGCAATAATATAAATCTGTCATTAGATGTCTGCATCACATCGTACAGTATATAATTTACATAGCCTCATTCATAATGTCGAAAGCCTTTCTATAAACTTCGAGCATAGTTTTACAATTTTGCCTCTTGCTTGCCAAATTTTCATCCTCTTGCAATAAATCTACAAATAGTTCCTCCTTATATAATTCGGATACTAATCGATTTTGGACTGATTCACGAGAATGATTGACCAAAAGATGCATAATAGCCTTCGGTACAAGATCTTGAATTGTTTTGCGTACAATATTGAAATATGATGAGATTAGAGTTCCTTTGTTAAGATGTTATAAATGTCAAAATATTGCTATTAATATTACACGCATTCTACTCAAATACAATATAAATCATATACAACAGAAGATATAATGTATACATACGTATCAACTGTATCTCCATTTCTTCATGATCGGTCAGATGAACGGCATCATCGATAATCGCACCCTTTAAAATCAAAAGGGTGTCATCTTTTGCATCATGAAAAAAAAAA